CGGACTGCGGCGGGCAGGGTAGTGAGCCAGTCCCTCGCCTCCCACTGCGCGACGCGGCCGCACACGCGCCCCGCTGGATTTTGAGACAGGGCCAACTTCCCAAGCTGGCCTGGGCTGGGCATCCTCCTGCCTCAGCCTCAGAGCGCTGGTTCCAGTCGTGCACCGCTCACCTCCGTGCCCACTCCAGACTCCTGTCCGGTTCAATTTTGAGGAGGTGACACGTGGAGAGAGTGTACGGGTTGTCACATGTCAGGTCATCGCACTGTAAAGGCATCTCTTAGCCACCCCTCAAGGCAAGAAACAGCACCGGGGGCGCCCACAGCCTCCCAGGAGCCGGGCGTGGTGGTACAGGCTGTAATCCCAGCACTGAGGAGGCCGAGGCAGTAGCATCGCTGTGAGTTCAAGTCCAGGCTCGGCTCCATAGCGAGACACTGCCTCAAAAGAGAGGCTGGGGTGTGACTCCGCAGTCACTTCGCTAGCACGCAGGAGGAGGCTGAGTTCGATCCCCAGCACTGCCTCAAAGTGGAACTCAGGGAAGAGGTGACCTGGGGGAGCAAAGCCGGGAGGTGATGAAAAGGGCTCCCCTGGGAGGGCCTTTCTAAGAGTTGTGTTACATAATCCAGGCTGTCCTGCCTCAGCCTCCCCAGTGCTGGGCTTACAGGCTTGTGCCACCCTGCCCAGCCTTCTTAGTTTTAAACCCCTTCTAAGGAAAGAAAGGAAAAAGAACCACATAAGGAAGTGAACGGATGGCTTTTACTGCGTTTGTGTTTTCCTAAAGTTTGGGCTCTCAGTGACTCTTGCAAAGCCTTATTTCTCTGAGATGGGAAGTTGGTGTGATTAATGCAAATGCATTTTGGAAGCAAAGTAAAACTGAAGAGCGCGTAGGGGAAGTAAATATGAAGGCGGAACCCCTTTGCTCTGTACGCAAGACCAGGACCCCGCCCCCTCATGGCCATCTGCGCTGTGGAAGGGGGACACACGGAGATACTTGAGAAGGAAATCTTTGCTGTGTCTTTGGGTATAGGGGGTCACATTTTATAGGGAGAGCTACTTTCTTTGGGTGCTAGGGATTAAAGCCAGGGCCTTCAACCTGAGCAACATCCCCGGCACTTTTTTAAGTTGAGGTTTCACAAAGTTGCCCCACAAGGGCTCAAACATGAGACCCTCCTGCCTCAGCCTTGTAAAGCCCTGGAATTACAGGTGTGTACTACAGCCTCTGGCTGAAGCACAGTTTGTAAGTAGAGGACTAAGGAGTACGGAATTTGGAGCCACCCTCTTCCCTCTCCTCGGCCCTGCCGGCACCCCCATTCCCCACCTTTTCCTGGGCTCCCTGGACTTGCTGTGGAGGTTTCTGCTCAGGTGAACCCTGGTGTTCCTTCCCCCGTGTTCTTCACATCAGGAGCGGCACTTAGAATCTCTCCCAACTCCTAATTCCAGACGCGTGATGATACTTCTCTGATCAAGAAAATAAGGACGGCTGTGTGGTAGAGACTTTGGCAGCGGAGCCGGGAAGAGTATGGAGAAATGGCCCTGGACGGCGGTGGTGGTCCTGCTGGCCCTGACGGTGCGGTGGGCTGTCTCGCTCCATTCCTACTCAGGTACTGTTATTTCACCATTTCTAGCGGGAAAATGCCGAGGTGAGGTGCATGCCTGTCATCCAGGGCTGGGAGGCTGAGGTCGGCCCGCTTGGAATACGTAGTGAGACTCCATCTCAAACAAACTAGCAAGTGTCTGGCAAGGGTGCAGCCACACACACACACACACACACACACACACACACACACACACGCACACGCACACACACGTACACAAAAGTAAATAAATATTCCTTTGAATTGGTGTTTTATGGTTTTTTTGTTTTTGTTTTTTGGTAACAGTTTGTAGTTTTCTGACTGAGGAAGGGATTTCAGGAATTTATTTTTGTGGTCAAGAAGATACTTTAAAGAAAGAGAAAATACATTTAAACATTTAATGAAACAAATGTATGCTTCGTGGTAGAGAGCAAATGCCTTCCAACGGAACCCTGCAGCTTGAGAAGCGGTTGTAAGCTCACAGCTGGAGGCGGGAGTGTGGTGAGGGGTGCAGTGTGGCTGGGCTGTGCGTAGGGCGAGAGAAGTGACTGCTATGGGCAGTAGGCAGATGCTGATCTTAGGGCTCTTTGCAGTTTCTCTCGGAAATCGTGACTCCTTTGTGCTCGGTCCCAAGTGTTACCAGTGTCTCTCCATTAAGGACCTCGCTTATTCGAATAATTAGCTGCATTGGGTGAGTAGGAGGAGAAAGTCGTAGAGAATCAGTTTTTGCCAGGTCCGGATCACTGCTAAATTATGACTTTGTTTCTCTCAGCTGTTGCTGTTTGTAAGGATTTATAAGTTCTCGCGGGGAACATGCAAAAGCCAGTTTTTATTATGGAAAATATTAGCCACATTTTCTTCTTGTGAATGTTTACAATTTCAGTGCGAAGGCGGCGTGAAATAGGCGCTGTTGGGAAAGAGGTGAGGTCTGCGAGGCGGGTTGGGCCGGTTCTGGCGGTTCCGGTGCCGCAGAGGCGAGGCCGCGCGCAGGTGTTTCCGCGCTGCTTCCGCCCGCCCTGTGAACGAGCTTTGGGATTCATCTCCGCCGGCCAGGGGTGCTCTGTGCCCTTCTGAGAGCAGCTCCCCCAGGTACCGCGGGGCTGCCGTTTGGTCGCTCTAAGGTCACTTCAGCAGTTTTTAAAACTGAAGTACTGATTGCATAGCAGTGTCAGCTGACTGTATTGAAGTCGGTCAGACTGGGTAGAAACTTGGTCCACGCTTCCACTCTTTGTTAGGGACTGGTAATACGTTCTTCCGTGTTGACCTCAGGCCCAGTGCAGTTTCAGAAATCCGGATGTTGGATTTTTTGAGTAATAGGAAACTACTTAAGATCCTCTCTGACTTTTGTTATCCCAGTGGTCCAAAACCAAAACTAAACACATGAAAAATAAAAATCAACGCCTTCTTTCCCCTAAAAGAAGCCGCATCCAGTGGTTTATGAAATGGAAACGTACACACCCACCCACGCGCTTGTGCACGTACTCACATGCACACTCATACAGGTACACGTGGAAAATAGTTCATTCATTGCGGAATTCTTGGCCTTTAAAAAAACATATAACATATATATATATGTATATATGTGTGGGTATATATTTTCTGGTACTAGGGATCGAACTCACATCCTGGTGCTTGTGAGGCAGGCAGCGGAACCACTGTGGGCTAAATCCCCGGCCCACTTTTAAAAAAATACTGCAGGTTATTATTTTGGGGGGTTAATGTTTTCGTTTTTTGTTTAAAAAGATTTTTTTTCCAGTTCTAATTTTCTTGGTACAATTTAGATTTACATAATGATCACATTCATCATAGGGAGTTTGTACCTTTACATGCTGTCTCTCGATTCCTTTTTTTCTCGTTTCCCTCCCCTCCCTTCAACCCCTCTTTCTTTTTCTTGTTTGCTAAAGGCCCATTTCCATACTTTCCTTATTTTTTACTTTTTCCTTTGTTCATTTCCTCTCCCCTGTCTTTAGTTCCTCTTTCCTACCGAATGATTTTTTCTTACTTTGAATTTTCTGTCATGCATTTTGGTCCCTTTTTACATATTCAGTTTCTTAGGTTAGATGATGGGATATTTACACACGCATGTCCGATTTGTTTCAGTCTCTTCAAGATGCATCCGTTTAGCTATAAATGTGTCGAGTTTGTCCTTCTTTATGGCTGAGTAGTACTTCATTATATAGAAAAACTCCATCTTTATCCATTCGTCAGTTGATGGGTATTTGGGTTGTTTCCAAGATTTAGCTATTACAAACTGTGTCACTGTAAACATGGGTGCTGTTTTTGTTTTTATTTGGAGACAGAGTCTTACTATGCAGCCCAGGCAGGTCAGACTAGGCTATCCTCCTGCCTCAGCCTCCAAGGCCTGGGTTTTCAGGCACGCACCACTATGTGTGCCCCTAGCAAAGCAGCTGTTTAACTAGCTCCATGCCCAGCAGGAAGCTTCCTTTGAACTCTAGACTAGCGTTCTGTCTTAGGACCTGTGTTTCTCTGGGGGGCATCAGGAAGTTGTACAGTTGCAGGACTGGGTGGTACCTAGGGGACACGCGTTAGGAGCGGGCAGTAGTTAGCACCAGTCCTGGAGGACTTGGGTGAAGCTGCCCTCCACGCCCGCCATCCCCAGGCTCCAGGCGGTGCGTCAGGGTGAGCCGGCAGCACCCTCGGCCTCCAGCCTTGGTGCCACTGTCCTGCGGTGGCCAGGGTCGGACAGGGAAGGCTTTGTCCCTTTTTACAGTTTTGAAATGCGGACTGAGCTGCAGACTGCCTATTTTATGTAGTCAGGAGAGCAAAGCCTGACGCGATTCTCTAACGGTCTCCATTCCGTACCGGCCGGCTTGGTCTGTAAAAGCCTCCGAGGCGATTCCCAAGCTGTCGCCCCGTAGTGGCCCTCGGTGGACAGCAGGGCTGACCAGTGTTCGCAGGACGGGAGCATGACCCAGACGCCTGTTGCGGCTTTTCCTTCCCCAGCTCCCTGTGCTTCCTACTGCGGGAGCTGGGGGACGAGGTGGGTCACAGCTCCTGTCCCCTCGAGCCGGGTCCTCGGGAGGCACCGCCCGGAGCCAGGCCCCTAACCCCGTCCCTCTTTCCCGTCATAGGTGCTGGGAAACCGCCGCTGTTTGGGGATTACGAAGCTCAGAGACACTGGCAGGAGGTCACTGTGAACTTACCGCTCAGACAGTGGTACGGAAACCTCACTGGCGTTGCCTCCTTCTCTGAAGCTATTGCGGAGGGCCCTGTCTTCTCCCTCCGGGCACCCCGCACCTCTTCTTCGCCCTGGGTACTGTGTGCTCCAGCGTGTGCTAGCTGGGCTGCAAGGCTAAGCTTGTGCAGCTGGGAAGGCTGCCCAGGAAGACACCTGCATACTCCTGCCCCTGTACTGCGTGTCTGAGGCAGCACTGAGCTGGCCTCCGTAGCTTCCACTGTGTGTCACCGGGTTCGGGGCACAGCATCTGTGGGACCTTCTGTTCTCAGAGCTCAGAGAGCACCGTAGAATTCAGGGTACTTTTGAGGCAGGGTCTTGCTGCATAGTCCACACTGGCCGCTACTGCAGATCCTCCTGCCTCAGTCTCCTGAGTCGTAGCATCACAGGTGTGCACCGCCAAGCCTGGTTCTAACATTTTAATCTAGGGTGAAAACGTTAATCAGGAAACTAAAGTGGACCCCACTTTTCCTCTGCCCCATCAGTGCTTGCTTCTCAATGTGCGTGGTTTCGTGCTCACACTTTACTGCGTCGGTGCCTCTTTTTCTTATCTCCAGGGAGTCTCCAGGTTAAGTAAATGAAAGCTGGTGTTCGTGTTCCAATGCAGAAAAGCAGACCAAGTTGTGTGCGTGAATGTGTCCAGCACCCAGCATAGCAGTCTGTGCCCAGCTGCTCAGGGTTTCGCATATTTTGGGTCTGGCCTGGCGCCTCCCAGTGGTGTGCGGTGGAGCCCGGGGCGACTGGCGGGCAGTGGCCCTGGCTGCTGTGGGCCCACTGTCGGGAGCCCCACTGCCTCCCTGCCCCGGCCCGGAGAAGAGCAACTTCCCGAGTGTGAGGGAGGAGTCACTTAACGTGTCGTGTTGAATGCTAACTTGAGCTTTTTATGGGCCTGGGCCCGACTCCAGAGTGTGCCGGGTGACTGTCCCCAGCCCTTTGTCCTCTCATCTGGAGGCAGGTCTCACGGAGTTCCCAGGCTGGGCTTGCACTTGGGTCCTCCTGCACTGGCCCCTGGATGGCTGGGGTACAGGTGCACTCTGCCACTCTGCAGTCTGGTGACAGGCGCACGGCTGGCGGCGGGGCAGTGCCTAACGGTGTCGGTCCCTGCGTCACAGCAGTTGCACGCTGTCCCTTCACAGTTGAGCTGACCGGAGGAGCCTGGCAAGTTAGGAACATCAGGCCTAATTTCTTCTTTCATCCCCAGAACCTTGCCCACAGTGGGCTGTCATTACATACCGGCTGAAACAGTCTTACTCAGAACCTACCTGTCCCAAGCCAGCGGGATGGCGCACACCTGTAATCTCAGCACCCTGGGAGGCTGAGGCAGGAGGATCACCGTGAGTTCAAGCCCAGCCTGGGCAACTTGGCAACCTAGTGAGACCCTGTCTCAAAATAAAAAATAAAGAGCTGTGCACATAGCTCCGTGTGAAGGTCCAGGTTTCAATCGCAGAACAAGACAAAAACCAAAAACATAGAACCTCTCTGATTCATGAGATAGTTCTTCCTATAAATCAAATCTTTGCGTGTTCTTTGAAATCGATTTCTTACTTTGTTACATTATGATTGTTTAGAAACACCATTTCTCTCATTTTGAAGATTATCAGACGCACCCTGTCTTTTTTGTGGTGTACTTCTTGCTGTGTGAGCCGCAGGGGACCCAGGCCTGTCTGCCGGGGAGCTCGGGTTTGTGTATGTTGCGGCCATTGCCAAGACTGCTAAGCTTAGCTCTGATAATTTAAATGCTGTGAGGCGTTACACACACCTGTCCCCTGAACACTGATGATCGAGCGCTCTCTCCCTTCCCAGGTATTTCAACAGCAGCGAGAACGACCTGCAGTACTGGGGGCTGGACTACCCACCGCTCACGGCGTACCACAGTCTGCTGTGCGCTTTCGTGTGAGTCCTGTGTTCGGGTCCTGCTCTCCTGCAGCTGGGACTGCGAGGAAGCCACTGTGGCTTTATTTATCACAAGTGGGTTTTAAGATCGGTAACCCAGTTTGAACATACACGTACTGTCTCTGGAGGGCATGAAATTTTATTTTTTTCATAGAAGAGTGGTTTTTATATTTTCTTTATTAATATCTACCTGTACCACGTTAAAATAAAATTTAAAAACTTAAAAAAAAAAAGAAATGCAAAACCTTAGCTTTGTTTGGGTGTGGAGATGTTGCCGGTTGACACCAAGAACTATTCTAGTATCGGTTACAGAGCTTTTTCCTGGGATGAGCCAGAGTAGGTGAAAATAGAGGTCCAGGGGTGCGGACTCGGTGCCCTTGGACCCTGGCGCCTCCTTGGTTTCACTTCTGACTTGAGATCGGGACCGGAGCTCCTCCTCTGGTTGGAGGGCGAGGCTCTGTTCTGACAGAAATGGGGCTCCCTCTCCCGTAGGGTCTCGCCTCCGACTGGAGACTTTTGTCAGCAGAAGTTGGAGGGCTTCTTCACCGCACAGACTGAAAGCAGCCCCTTGTTTCATTATTGCAGTTTCTCTCTCTCTCTCTCTCTCTCCTCGCTGTGTGCTGAGGGGTGTGGACAGGGCCGTGGACCCGGGGCTGTGCCACCCGGGGTTAGAGGCGCAGTCATTTTATCTTGAGGTGCACGTGTGCCCAGGGCCTTCCTGCTGGGCGGTGGTGGCTGAGCGCATTTGTGTTTTGGTCGGCAGGGCAGAGCGCATCAACCCCGCCTGGGTGGCGCTGCACACGTCGCGGGGGCACGAGAGTCCAGCGCACAAGCTCTTCATGCGCACCACAGGTAAAGGGCGTGGGAGGGCTGGCAGCCACGTGTTTGGGTGTTCTGGACCAACGGATCCAAGTGCTGTTCTTGTTCATCCTTTCCCCTCTCTCCCCCTGAACCTTTTGCAGTGGTGGGGATTGAGCCCAGGGTCCTGTGGTTGCCAGGCAGGTGCTGGGCCGCTGAGCTCACCCTACCTTTTAAATGCTTTGTTTTGATGGAGGATCTTGCTCAGTTGCCCAAACCTCAATCCTGTGATCCTCCTGCCTCAGCCTCCTAGAGTGCTTCGGCCTCAGGCGTGCGCCACCATGCCTAGCTGTGTCCGCATTTTTAAGTCCAAGTGAGGACAGAGAGACATTGTGTGCACATAGGGCTTGTGACACGTGGTGCCTTAGGCTGCGGGAAGGCAATGGTGGGCCCTGACGCAGGCATGTCAAGAGTATCTGCTTGTCTTTTCAGTTTTAGTCGCCGATGTGATGATTTACATTCCTGCAGTGGTTTTGTACTGCTGTTGTTTAAAAGAAATCTCAACTAAGAAAAAGGTAAGCTTGAAAGCAGTCTGACATTTTGTCTCCATAACGGTTCGTTCCTTTGTTTGTTTGCAGTAGTGGCTATTGAACCTGGGGCCTTTGTGCTGAGCTACATCCCCAGCCCTTTTTTAAAATTTCAAGACAGTCTTGCCAAGTTCTCCAGGCTGGGCTCGAACTTGCAGTCCTCTTGCCTCAGCCTCCTAGAGAGCTAAGATGACAGGCAGGCGCCACCTCACCCAACTTGTAGTGTTTTTTTTTAAATCCGTGTAGTAATGATACACCTTAAGCCATAATCTAGGGAATAGCTAGAACAATGAGGAGCGTTCTATCTTCTGTCAGTTTCCATTTAGAAAGCACCAACTTACTCTACACTGATTATCTCAGAAGTTACATACTGGTGCACTGCACACCGTGCTGCATTTATTATTTAACTGGTGCATCTGAATTTGGGGCTGGTTTTTCAGGATTACTAAGCTGAAAGGCATTTTGGAAAGTTGCTGTTATCCTCTCCTAGTCACCGTTATCAACTTTTCCTGGACCACACGGGCAGGTTCATTTCCCTGACGTGTTTGTCTGAAAGTGCTCCTTCAGACACGTGCTCTTCGGGGATCACCCTCTTCTGAAGTGCCCCGTGCCACTCCACGTGACCTGAGTGTCCAGTCTGCTGGACGTGGCTCCGTGGACAAAAGGCCGCCCCACGTCCCCTGGCCCGTGTCCCGGTGGCGGAGGCTTCTCCTCACAGTGTCTGTCTTCACAGGTCGCCAACGCCCTCTGCATCCTGCTGTACCCAGGCCTCATTCTTATTGACCATGGGCATTTCCAGTATCCTTTTCTGGTTGCGTAGCCTGAATTCCAGGCCCGTGCATGTTGTCAGTGGTCGCTTCCTGTTTGAGCTGCTGTGTTCCCCATGATGGGAAAAAGTCTGCTCTCCAGACTTGTGACGAGGAAAGCACAGCTTCCATCAGCAGAGTTCCTTTGTCCTCTCTGCTCAGCTTGGGAACAGGTTAACTGGTGAGCTCTCCGTGGGGCTGGCAGAAGGGTGCCAAGTGTGGTCACGCTGTCCGGGTCGTCCAAGGTGTGGTGCGTCGTCTTGTATTTGTGTCACTCTGAAGAAGAGGACAACTGTCTTAAGGTTTTTAAGCCATGACACAATGTTTCTCTAACGGGTAGCTTGAAGCTTTAGGAAACTCTTACTAAATAAATTAAATCATGCGGCTTTTCTGCCTTTTTATGATATAATAAGAAACACTGATGCCAGGCGTGGCGCACGCCTGTAATCCCAGCACTCAGGGGGTTGAGGCAGGAGGATCATGGTGAGTTTGAGACCAGCCTGAGCTACATAATGAGTTCCAGGTCACCGCAACATGACTGGTTAATTAACAGCTTTTCCTTTTGGTGCTAATCTTTTTCAGTTATAATAACATTTAAAAGTACTCTAAGAAGAACTTGCAAAAGATACTCAGATCTGTGATGGTTTTTACCACACGTATTTTACTCTGTTCGCTTTTCCTAAGTTAGGGTTTTGAGGGGTATTGTTTGTAGGATCATGTCTTTCCAATGCATTGACATCGAGAACCATGTTACTTGCCAGATTTTCAAAACCATAGCTACTTTGAGATAGGACGTCTGCACAGAGAACTGTGACAACATGAATGTGCGGCCGAGCAATGACACTGCCAGAATCTAAGAGCACTGCGTACCGTTGTGCACCTCCCGGGTACTTCTTCCGCTGTTCGCTCATTCTGACTGCGTCTCAGTTGCTTCCCCATGCTGAGCCACTCCTGACACCCACAGCCTGGAGGAGAGGTGCTCGGCCCACGGTTGTGCGGGGGTCAGTGGCCCCAAGGCAGGAGGGCGTGGCGCAAGGGCCAGGCAGCCGGGACACAGAGCAGGAGGGAGGAGCCGAGGAGGGAAGTGCAGCTTCCAGGCCACGCCTCTAGCGACCAGACCCCACCTCTGGAACCCCATGACCATCTTCCAGAAGCCCCACCTTGAACACATGGGGCTTTGGGGGACATCCAGACCTAAGCCACAGCAAACTGCCAGTATTCCTGTAGGTCCCAGCTATAAAGAAATGACAGCACTGCAGGTATTTTTCTGGGTTGGATGTTTTGGTCACTCCATTTTGTGAGACTTATTTATGTAGTTGAAGATAGTTTTAGTTTTTTCACTTTCATTCCTTACAGGATTCCATTGCACAAATAGACGTAATTCTGTTAGTGAGCGGCATCTGGGTTGTGTCCAGAGTTTGGACAGTTTTATTGTAGTATAAGGGATTAAAACCAAGCAAGGTATAGGTATGCCAGGCAGGTACTATGCCACTGAGCTGTGTCCTCATTATTTTAGTTTTCAGAAAGGTCTCCCTAACTTGTTCCGGCTGGCCTCAAATTTGTGATCCTCCTGCTTCAGCCTCCTGAGGAGGTGGGATTGGATATTCTTTTTTTTTTTTTTTTTTTTTTTTTTTTGGTACCGGGGATTTTTGAACTCGGGTCCTTGCGATTGTGAGGCAGGTGCCTGAACCACTGAACTCAATCCCCAGCCCTGGGATTGGATATTCTTACAGATACCTCTTTGTGCACATGTGTTTCTAATGGTTGGAGTCGCATGTGTTTCTAATGGTTGGAGTCGTTGATTGTGGTCCGTACCAGGCCTGGTTCTTGGTCACTCCCTGTTGAGAGCATGGCGCCATCTCAGGCAGGCGTGCGAGCCCCCAGGCTTCTGTCCATCATTTCTGGTAACCCTTCTGCTCACTCTGTGGTGGCGCTGCTGCTGCTGCTGCTGCTGACCTTTTGGGCCCTTGCGTTCTCCGGTGCCTTGCCCAGCCCAGTGTGTTCTTCAGTGCCCTTCTGGACGCTTGGATCCACTTAGTGTGGACTCGTGCTAGCAGTTCTGCAGATTCTCTGTCTTCGCTAATTTTCCCATTCTTTTGCTGCGCTTATTGGATGATGTTAGCTCTTTAATCTCCGTCTCGACGTCTCTGACTTTGGTGATTTAGAAATTGTGCTGTCTTTACCTTGAACGTGGCTATTAAATTTCATTTGCTAAGCATGTCTTGTCGCTCTAATTAGCTTTTTCTTCCTCCTGTTCTTGTGGCCCTTTATTTTCTTGATTCCCGTTGTGCAGGAGCTGCGTTGACTGCAGTCAGTCTTTGTCCTCACTGTGCGAGCTCTGTCGTCTCTGGGTCTCGTGTGCTGTCGTGGTAAGCCGTGACAAAGCTCCGTCTCCTAGAGCTCTCTGACTCTCAGGACGGCAGTTGCTGCTCAGCCGCAGGCTCGCTGTGCGCTCGGGTGCGCTGCTGCGGGCGCGCTGTGCCTGTGTGTGACTGTGGCGTGTGCGTCTCTCACCTACCGAGCCGGCTTCCTTAGCATCGACGCAGGTACAACTCTGTGAGTCTTGGCTTCGCCCTGTGGGGTGTCCTCGGCGTGTCTTGTGACTGGGACCTGCTGGGGTCACTGGCCTTTTGTTTAGCGCTAAATTACAAACAGATGGAACTTTACCATTCCTTGCCATTTTTTTGCTTTTTACTTGGCAAGTGTTTTCAGAAAGGCCTCAAAGGAAAGGGGTGAGTGCCCTTTAAACAGTTCCGTTTTATGGCAAAGATGTATTTGGCAGACTTACTGGAGGAAGTGTCCTTTCCCTTTGCCTTTGGGCGATTTCTTAGAAATGTGTTGGCCATAAAGGAATGGGAAGAAAGTGATGAAGTCGCGCTCTGAACTCTTAAATCTTCCTGACCTGCGCAGTGCGATCTGCTGCTCAGCCACTGACCAGCAGCGGCACAGACTGCTTTTCTGGGCGCTGTCGGGTCCCCGTCACCTCTGGGGCAGCACATAGGCATTAGGAAGCCTGGCCCCGTGTAGCCCCCATCACGCCCTTTAACCCTGCAGCACTGGCGTTTACGCGAAGCGGTAGTGAGGGTGGCGAAGGCCGCGTCTGTCACGGGCAGATCTCGCTCCTCGCCTGTCCCCATTGTCCCCCAAGGGCCCCTGACTCCCGGCTCCCGGCTCACTCCCTTCTCCTCCAGGCTGGGCTTGCTGCTGAAGCTGGTGGGCACCGTGGTGGCTTCCTTCGCTCTCTGCTGGCTGCCGTTCTTCAGCGAGAGGGAGCAGACCCTGCAGGTGGTCAGACGCCTCTTCCCCGTGGAGCGAGGGCTGTTTGAGGCACGTGGAAGCGTCCTTGTCACAGGCAGCTCGCAGGCCCCGCGCAGGGAGGGGAGCGGGCGGGCGGGCGGGGGCCCTATTCGTAGCTGCAGATTCTCCTCTTAGACTCAGGAAGTACTTGTTCAGCTGGTAACGGTGTTTGCTTCAGAGCGATCTCGTCCTGCCTCACAGGATCTGTAGCGCTCAGCCACAGTAGAGTTTCACTTAATGCTACTTTAGTCGCTCTGGTTCAACTTTCATTACATGAATAATTCGATCATTTAGATTTAGTAATGAAACCACTTTTCTGAAACAAAGAGGCCTTTTAATAAAGTTAGAGACAACATATTTGTAGATGATTTGCTTCAGAATAACGTTTCTTTTTAAAGAGAGTGTAGAGCCAGTCTGTCTTTCTGACTCGCACATAACCGTGTCTGGAGCCCATCTCGTTGACAGGCATGGGACACGGCGGGGGTGTGGTCGTGGTGGCCGCGGTTCGGTCCCTCGGGGTCGTCGCCTGAGCCCTCCTCACAGCGCCTCGAGCATGCCCTCCGTTCTGTCACGCGCACACGTTCAGTGACGTGACTGTCACTCCTGCCCTGCCTGGGATCTGGCGGGGAAGGATGCGGGCCAGCTGCTGGCGATGATGTCTGGGTGTCAGGCCCAAGCCGAGTCATCAGCTGTGTAGACGGCGGCTTTACGAGCGATGTGGTTACTAATTTTGAAAATGATCCTAGCACAACTGCTAAGGTTTTTTTAATGCCTTGATTTATAAGCGATTAGCTCTTGTCATTGCTGGTACCCAGTAGGTGACTAAATAAATAACAACTTCAGATATGTAATGAGAAGGGTGCAAGGTAATGTGTCGTACAAAGCAGGGGGTAAAAGGTTTAGAAAAATTGCCAAAGGAATAAATTCAGTATTTAGGGATAATGTACTGCTCTTTGAAAAAATTTCATATTTCTCGGGGCTGTCTGGGTCGTGGCTGGCTAATTAATTCCCACTATAAAAGAAGACACGCGAGGGAGGGAGGGGACGCGTGTTTACTGCTGAAAGAGCTTAACCCACTTCGAGGTGCAAGCTTCGCACGTCTCAGTGCTTACGTAGAGATGATGGCTTACGCTTCATGGGCTGTCGTATTTCTTTCAATTATTCCAAAATGTAAAACCAGCAAATGTCTTTCAAGGATAAAGTGGCCAGTGTCTGGTGCAGCGTCAACATCTTCGTGAAGATTAAGGACCTGCTGCCGCGAGACACTCAGATACTGATCAGGTGAGCGGGGCTGTCGCACCCTCTGCCTGCAGTTTCCTCCTTCGCGAAGGGCTGCTGAGCACGACTTCCTGCTGTCTTGGAGTCGTGACCGGCAGTGGCGTGGTCCAGGGTGAGCCAGACAGCGGAACAAGGTGCAGACGACCGTGTACTGTGCACACGTGTGCACGTGTGTGGCCGTTACACGGGTGCTTGCGGTGGTCTGAGGCATGTGGGGACCAAGGGGACCGTGAGGAGCTGCGCTTCATGCTGGGCGCTGTGTCCCTTGTCTGTCCTCACAGCCCGTGTGGCACTGTGAGGCAGAGGTGACCGGGGCCCTCTCTCCTGGCACGGGGCCGAGCGCGGTCCCCTCTGCTGGATGCGGCCAGGATGGCCAGAGTGGGGTGAGCAAGCCTGAGTGCGGAACACAGCCGTCTATTTCTGCCTCGCTTAGTTTCCTTATTTTGAGCTTTTGATGATGGACCTCCTCGCTTTTTGTACCTTTTCTGTACGTGATGTTAAGTATTAAACAAGTTGTGTTTAGTGTCATATGTTTTATTCTTTATCAAAATCATGTGTGAAAGAATATGTGTATTTTACTGTGTATATTACTTGTTAAATTTTAATTTGAGACTAACTTAAACTGATAATGTCATCTTTATATTTTAAAAAATGTTTTGGGCCAGGGATTTAGCTCAGTGGTTTTGCCACCTGCCTTGCAAGCACAACAGGCCTGAGTTCGATTCCTGGTACCCCCCCCCAAAAAAAAAGAATAGAAAAAAAAAAGTTTTAGCTGGACTTAAACCTGTACAAAGTAAACAGACACACTTTATTTTTGTTCCTTTTCCAGCTTTTGCTTTACGCTTTTGAGCTTGCTTCCAGCCTGTATAAAACTGACCCTTCATCCCTCTCCCAGAGGGTTCAGATTTGCTCTGGTAAGTTTGTCATTGCTTAGATTCTTGACTCCTGCTACCTCTGAGCGGTGTAGGATTCCCGAGCGGGAAGATGGCACCCTTGCCCTGTGCGGCCTCCATCTCATCCCTGCCTGGCCCTGTGCGCTGGTGTGGAGCTGGGGACGCCTCAGTGAGGCCCTGGCGCAGCCTGGCTGCTGTCAGTTTGGAGCTGGTGATGGGCATTTGCTGTGGCACAGGATTTCTGAGCAGGCTCTTGAGTTCCCCCTGCGTGTGTTTCTGTGGAATCCAAGGTCTTGTGTGTGCCTGGGTCTACAAAGTGACGTTTAAAGACATCTGTGAAACATGGCGAACACTGAACTGCCGAGCGCAGCCGAGCCAGGGGAGGGAGAGGAGCACTGTGGAGGGAATGGAGCATCTTGGGCTGCACGCTGCTCTCCGAGCCCCAGAGAACGCTGGCCTGCTGAGTGAGCCGCCTGGGGCCCGAGGCCAGAAAAGTGTTCTTTTTTCAATTTCCTAGTTTTAGTGTTTGATATATTTTAATACAAGCTGCTGTGTTAAAACAGTGATTTTTGTTAGTTTCTGATACTGGTTTGATACTTTTTTTTTTCTTGGTACCTGGGATCGAACTCTGGTCCTTACGCTTGCTTGCAAAGCAGGCGGCAGAACCACTGAGCTAATTGCCTGGCTGATTGTGTACTTCTGAGAGCTCTATTTAGTTAGTTTTTTTAATTTTTTTTAAAATCAGGGTCTCATTATGTAGTTCAGACTGGCCTCAAACTCACAGGGATCCTTCGGCCACAGTCTCCCAAGTGCTGAGATCAGAGTCGTGGCCACCACCTGGCTCATGAGAGCTTTCAAAACATTTCTCGCTAGGGGTTTAGCTCAGCAATGGTCCTGAGTTCGATCCCTGGTACCACAAAAAGAAAAAAAAAAATCTCATTATAATCATCTCTGAATTTCCTTTCATTCCAGCTGGTCGAGTTGTCCCTCAGTATGAATGTGTAAGGGAGGTGGCTGCAGTCTGGCACTGCAAGAGGATCTGACTGGCTGTATTCAAGTACAGTTTGCCAAGTGCCCTCTCGGTGCCAGTGCCCCTAGAACGACAGGCAGTGCCTCGGCTGCCCACAGGGCCTCCCGTGCAGTGCAGGGGAGGGAAAATAACCTAAGTCTGTCAGCAGGAACTTGCTTGGAGTAGGAGGTGCTGTGAAGAAACTCTGAGTAGGGCTGGGGATTTAGCTCAGTGGTTCTAGCACTTGCCTCACAAGCACAAGGACCTGACTCCAATCCCCAGTACCAAAAAAAAAAGAATAGCAAGCTTCTGGGATGGGGTCAGGAACAGGACACTGTTATGTTCTCTGTTTGTCTGGTTTTTATAATTGGGGTCCTGAACTCCTGGGCTCGTGTGATCCTCCTGCCTCAGCCTCCTGAGTAGCTTGGACTATGGGCCCCGACTGCTGTGTCCACTGAGGACGCTACTGTAGATTCTGAGAAGCCTTCGAGACCAGGGAGACTGGGCCTGGGTTGGGTCCAGCCAGTGTGTCCCCAAGGCTGGGCACCGGACATGCAGACAGTTTGGGACTGGGGGGCAGGACCAGGTCCACTGTGGTGGGCGCGTGGTGAGCACAGGTGGGGATACCAGCAGCCTCAGCCCAGGTGCAGGGACCGGCGGTGGGTACGTGCGGGAGGGCCCCTCGGCTCCTAGCATGGCTGATAGAGACCCTTGTGTCAGGTGCCGGACGCAAACTTCTAGAGAAAGATGGAAGGGATTTACTTAAACCCCAGGTAGCAGGTGGGTTTATAAAGCATTCATGCATGCTTTTTAATTTAAACTGTCAGATGCCAGGGAGGGTGAAGGTAAGATCGTTGTATCTGAGGTATCAGTAAGTATCAATGACAGAATTTTGAAGCCAGGCGTGGTGGTGCACACCTGTATTCCTTCATACTGGGAGGCTGAGGCAGGAAGGTCTCAAGTTTGAGCCCATCCTGGGCAACTCAGCAGCTTTACAAGACCCTGCTCAATATTAAAAATATAAAAAGGGGCTGGGGATGTAGCTCAATGCAAAGGCCCTGGGTTCCACCTTCAGTAATATAAAAAACAAGTTGACTTTCAAATCTGACTAGAGTTTTATGCATACTGTGTCTATATTTTACTTCTAATGAAGCTGAAATACCAGATTTCACTTTCGCTGATTTTTCTTTAGATTTATCATGCAGTTGACCTCATTTCCTCTCTTTCTCTTCAAGATCAGCTGTGCACTGTCGTTCTTCTTATTTTCCTTCCAAGTACATGAAAAGTCCATTCTGTTGGTAGCACTGTAAGTAGAAATGTTTGGAGTGTGTCTTTACTGTTGTGTGTTCACAGGTAAATTTGTGATTTACGGAAAATTAATTTAAATGCAAAATGCAGCCACATAAATCTCTTGCACACAGTTACTTATTAATTTACTGTATACAGTGTACTCTAAACGAGACGTGCGGACTGACTGCCTCTTTCTTCCGGGTTTCTGTGTTGAGAAGCAGAGCGGCCTGCAGAGCGCTCCCGGTGTCCCCGCAGGCCATTCTGCCATTCTCTGGGCACCCTGTATGGCCTCCCCTGTGGCTTTTCCTCCTTCCGTCTTCGGGGTCTCGGGCCTGTCGCAGCCCTGACCACACCGCTGGCATCAGGGTGTCGCGCTTTTCCCTGTCAGGCTTTGCATCCATCCGGACACCTGCCCCTCCCAGCGGCTCCTGGTCAGAGAGGCACGCAGGTGACCGCGACAGGCAAGGGTGTCTCGCTCCGTGAGGGTGGACTGGTCCCGGGCCAGGCCCCGGGCCGTGTGGAGGGCCCTTGGCCGCTGCCACCTGGGGACTGCGCACCTCCAGCTCCGAAGCCTGAACCGGGCAGGCCTCACCCTGACACAGGTCGGGCCGCATCACAGAGGGTGTTGCAGACGATGTAGAAGCTCGGGCTTTTGTCTGGGAAGAAACGGGGAGCAGGCTCGGAGGGAAGGGAGAGGAGGAGCAGGGAGCCTGCCCTTGGGGATGAAAGTTGGATGCAGCTCTTCACAGCAACCCTTGCGTGTGAGAAGCCTGAGGCCAGGGCTCGGTTCTCCTAACGAAATGCTGAGTGAATACTCAGGAAGGGAAGGAGACTCCAAACTGTTCATCAAGCACCTAGCACGTGCTCACCAAAGAACCCGTTCTGCATGGAATGAATTTACGCAGTGAGATGGACGGGCCTCTGTCGGCCTCTCCTAGCACAGTCATTTCAGTTAGTGTACGGTCCAGGGCTCTGTCTCACACACTGCTTGGAAAAGTCACTCTCAAACTCTTACAGAGCATTTCTTTTTTTTTTTTTCTTTTCTTTAGAAAAGAGTCAAAATAATAATAGCAACAATTATTCAACAACTGTTGTCATGAAAAAGTTTTTGTTAAAAAGTAAATACTAGCCAGGTGTGGTGGCGCACGCCTATAATCCCATCACTGGGGAGGCTGAGGCAGGAGGACTGCCATGAGTTCGAGGCCAGCCTGAACCTTGTAGCGACACTGTCCAGTATGTAAATACTGGACAATACTTGCAGATGGGTTCTTTCAACTGCTTAATGAGCAATCTTACTGCCATCGATGTGGCAGAAAACTCGGTACTCTTCACTGGCCCAGCCCCTCCATAAGCTGTGGCTGGGCCAGGCAGGTCCATCCCCTCCTCCTCTGGCCTTAGTCAGGGCGCAACCCCTTCTGCTGTGCTGAGGACTCCTGCTACCCACGGGCCAGGGCACATCCTGACTTTAGTTTTAACTTAGCTGAGTAGTACATAATGTGGATGATCATAAAACAGAAGTTCGAACACCACTCTCTTGGGAGCTCATTTCCTGTTTCCCAGGGGGCATGAAATACAGAAAGCTTTCTCTAGGGGTTTGGTTCTGCCTCACCCGATCCTTATCTTGAGGCAGTTTGTATGGCAGGAGGGAAGTTCCATTAATGGCAATGTTCCAGTTTCCGTGAAGAGCCGACACCTTCATGTTTGTTCAGTTCCCAAAAAAATGAATCAGCCAGGCATGGTGGCGCTCGCCTGTAATCTCAGCTCCCTGGGAGGCTGAGGCAGGAGGATCTCAAGTTTGAGACCTGCCTGGGCAACTCAGTGAGACTGTCTCAAATTAAAGAGTGTGGGCTGTAGTTCTGTGGAAAAGCGCTTGACTGGTGTGAGGGCCTGGGTCCAGCCCCCATTCATGAAAAGAAAAAAAAAAAAACAGCGTCCCCCAGTAGAGCCCTTCCTGGCTTCTGGCTTTAAGCTGCCCTTGAAAATGAGCCTGGTGAGCGTCCCTGCAACACTGAAGCATTTTTCCTTTCTCATTTTAGACCCGTCTGCTTAGTGCTACATGAGGTTCCTTTTATGTCAGCTTGGTTTTTGCTCGTGTCCACGTTCAGGTGAGTGGGCCGGGGGCCGATCCCGCCCTGGGATGTGCGGACGGCCCCTCACCCGCTGTCCCCACAGCCTGCTGCCCCTGCTGCTCAAGGACGGGCTGCTGCTGCC